AAAAAAAAACAAAAAACAAAAAAAACAAAAAAACAAAAACCCAATGAACAACAATTTGTGGTTCATATTTCGGTGTTTTTAGCTGGGACTGTGAGCAGCAGGTTCTAAATCCAGAGTTAGGATGGAGCCATTCACCCCCAAGCAAGAATTCCAATGGGGGTTTTTTTGGGTTTATTTTGTGGGTTTTTTGGTATTTCATTCTACAGGCAGTGAGAAAAACTATATTTTCCCCCTAATCCTACAAGTACTACAGATATCCAGGAGCCACAAGGCCTCAGGCAGGTTACAGCACCCAACTACTCCAGCTTTAGGCACTCAGGTATAAAAACTGCAGTAATTTTTCCCCAATTTCTTTGCATCATCTGCAAGTTCTTAACTGGCAATTAAATAATCCTCTGATCCAGGACTCTGGGTCACTCAGTTCCAGTCACACAGTGACAGGATGCCATCAGAAACATCCCTTGTCTCTGACTATCAGCATGAGCTTCACCTTCCACACTTGAGAGTTCAAGTGCTCTTAAATAACCTCTTGGAGAGTTTTTAAGCCAAATGAGGTTATCAAGTGTGACTCCATTTCACCTTGACTTTGGTTAAATGGCATTGTGGGAAAAATTACCTTCTGACTGAGATACCTTTAACTGTCCTCTCTTTAAAATAATAATAATAATGAAAAAACCAAACAGATTTCTGGCAAGAAACATCTGCTGATGGCAGGAAATAAATCATTATCTCAAGAATGTACACATCTGCAAAATGCCAAATTTAAAAGGAGGGACAGAACACAATGAAAAACTCTGCAGCCTTAAGGTTCAAAGCAATTAAGTCGCAATTAAGTCACAATTAAGCACAATTACCATCATCTCCCCACTTCCTCTTGCTTTGGTCAAGCTGGAATTCGCTTTCAGCCCTGACAAATCAGTCACCTGCTGCTTCACTCTGGCCCTCCTGCACAAGCCTGACAATCTCATGTGTCAGCCACGGGACATTTGGGATGGGGAATCCTCTGTCTGATGTTTTGTTTTCTTTTTTTTTTTTTTTCCCCACGAAGAAGTGGGAACAGAAACATCCCTGGTACCACGGTGTGTGCTGGGGAAGATGCACCCAGAGGTGCTCACTGGGGTGTCCCACACCCTGCACTGGGAGGCAGCTCTGGGGTCTCATCCCTGGGAACATCCAAGGCCAGGCTGGATGCAGCTCTGAGCACCCTGGGCTAGTGGAAGGTGGGTTGGAATGAGATGGGCTTTGAGGTTCCTTCCCACCCAAACCAGTCTGTGCTTCCAGTCCAGCCTCCCATTCCGATCAGGGCTCACTTTCCTGGGAGCTCAGGTCCCTCAGAGGAGTTCTTAGAACCTCCCCAGGCAATCACAGAATATGCCAAGCTGGAAGGGACCCACCAGGATCATCGTGTCCAACTCCCAGCCCTGCACAGGCCCATCCCTGTGCCCCAGAGGATCATCCAAACCCTCCTGGAGCTCTGGCAGCCTTGGGGCCGTGCCCACTGCCCTGGGGAGCCTGGGCAGTGCCCACCACCCTCTGGGGGAAGAACCTTTCTCTAATATCCAAACTAACCCTCCCCTGAATGGCACCAAAATTCTCTGGAACCAGAGTCTGCCTGGGCTGGTTCTTCAACGTGCTGCATTTCCTACAGACACTGTGTTATTATAATATATTATATTGTCCCCACGTGTTCCCAAACATCTCTCCATTCCCTGGGAAGGCAGAGCAAGGACACTGGGGGTCCATGGGACAGCAAGTTTCCTCAGCTAAGGCTCTGTGCCCTGACAGAGGGAATGTCCCACCCCAGCCCGGGGTGCCTGTCCTGGAGCAGCACAAGAGGAGAGTGGATATGCCCACACATGCTCAGGAAGCAATTTGTTTGCTTTAGAGCTTTTAAGAGCACTTAAACCTCCTGCCAAAGCATGAATTGTGCCCTCAGAAGAGGGACATTGAGTTCTGTACTTCTACCCTGCAAGACAAGGGTGGGGAAGGTTTGATCAGAGCCTGAATCGGGCTCCCAACTCCATCCTGCTCAGCCTGTGGTCAGGTGAGATCTTTGCTTTCTTTTCCTGGATTTTTTCATACCTCTTTCAGCACCACACCATGACCCCCACCCATCCTGCTCTGTGCTGGGAGAAACAAGAAAAGCCCTGCAGAAGAACATGATCCTTGGATGAACCTGCACAGCACTCGGAGCTCGTGAGTGTAGGGTGGGAGGGTGCACAGGGATGCTCAATGCTCAGAACGGGAACTACCAGCCTGACCCTGCAGGTTTGTTTTTCCCCAGTTACCACCAGAAACCTTCCATTTCCACCAGCTGAAATAAGGATTGAGTTCACCCAGGAGCCCTAGCCTGGAGTTTGACATCAGCTTAGG